TGTAGCTGCTGGGTACGAGGACGCGTTGGTTCCAGTTTTCTCTTCACACAATCAAACATGTTCACGACCGTGCATCGTCACGTCTAGTTCACTACATGTATGTGAATTACATGAGATACAAGTTGTCTGACAAGTTGTCAGGTGTTTATCAGGTGAATAACTGATGGTTAGACCAAAATAAGTCGTTTAAGTAGGAAAGAAAAGATGGACGTCGTGGTTAAAGGATAAAAATGACAGAAGTTACGAGTATTTCATTATTACTTTAGTGACCATGTACAATATTAGCAGAGTTAGCTTGAAGCTAATTCTCCTCTGCAGGTCTCAATTAAAACATATGATCATAAAATCGACCCTAAATAAAAAATGAAGCAGTAAAAACAAAAACCAAGTTACACAATATTAAATGTGTGTTGGACAAATTAAAAGCAGTTAGCGGTGATGTGTTCCTGGGACACTGGTATCATAGGAAAATACACACACACACACTTTGATCATCACATTATCATTAGCATTAGCATTTAACGTTGCTGATGCAGGTTTGTTTTAACCCTCTGGAGTCTGTCTATTCATTTGGGGAATACAATGAACATGTTTTATTCATATGATCATAACTTTATTTATATGGTGATGTCGCGACAAGCTGAGCTGAAAATACTGACGTGGGGCTTTTGAACATGAGCTGACACACATCTGTAGCCATCATTTATTAAAAGTGAGTTTATAGCATTGATTAATATTTTCAGTTAGTTAAAGTTAATTAATAAAATTGCTTTACATGTAAATTTAGAGCTTTATTTCTTCCATTTTCAGCTGTTTTTGTTTGTAAGAACATGAAACAATATTTTTTACAACCTTTAATCTTGTTCTGACTCTTTATAACTAAAGATTTGTAAACTTTTACAGCCTCCTGTTACTTTCCTGACAGCTTTACACAGAAGGAGGATCCAGAGTTTGTGCAAAAGATCGACCCTGACTCCAGAGGGTTAAATCCTCCCGTTTCAACATTTTAACGCAGGTGACGAACTTTGGACATGTGACCATGTGAGTTTGGATGTAAAAGATGTGGCTGCTGACGTGGTCGTTTTTTTTTTTTCTGGAGGATTGTGGGAGAAAAAAAAAAAAAAGCAGAGCTGGAATTATTTCTGGTTTCACGGACAGTGACTCAGGAAACGTAAAGAAAACTACGACTCACACAAAAACACACACTCGCCCCCACAGCCGCCTGATTTTAATAGACACCGAGATCACGGAGGGATCAGATAATTCTTGCCCCTTTGCCCCCTGCTCTCTACCTCCCCTACACACACACACACGCACGCACACACACACACACACACACACACACACACACACGCACACACACTCCTCTACCTATCCGTCTCACCCTATCAGCTGCTCCCTGCTGCCGTTGTTTGGAGAGGTCAGAGCTGTTTGTTTGGTCGGAGGCCCGTCGTCTGATAGTGTGTGTCGGACTACGCCTCCCCCTCCCGCCTCATCTTAACCTGGGCCGTTATCAGCAGCCCCCCCCCCCCCCCCCCACACACACACACACACACACACACACACACACACACACACACACACCAGGCAGCTCCGGCCTTGTCGTTTTAAAAGGGAACACTTCCCCAGGAAATTATGGAGAGACTCAGGCAGATAGACGGTGTTTCTATCTGTCGCCGTGGAAACCTGCAGGGCAGACGGAGACGCTCGGGCAGATTCCTGGTGCTCCAGGTTCAAATCCATCTCATGACCCCTGATGTCCGCCTCAGGCTCCGCCCACACAGGATTCACTGATTACGACTCATCCAAAGGTTGTCGTGTTTCCTGCCTGCAAAGTGACACTGGACTGAACTCTCTCATCTGCTGTCGCCTACATCGATGTGAAGCTTTGCACAGACGTTCATGGTTCCCAGAGGATGAACCTGAACTCCTTTAGCCATCCTCAGACTCCTCTCTGCTTCACATTTACGTGTTCCAGTGAAACGTCTCAACAAATACAGGATGTTATATCGTGATGTCTGGCTCAGACCATCATGGTCCCTCCAGGATGAACCGTAATAACTTTGATGATCCATCATCACGTCAAAATCTTAGCTGACGTTCACATGACCCTCTGCCTCTCTTGCAGTGACATCCTTTAAAACTTTAAAGGAAACTTTTATAAACTTACATTTCTGCATTAATTGTTGTATCATGTTGCTTTTAACTTTTTGTTTGTATTGTATCATTTCTACCATCGTAATGTTTTATTTTTGTCTGTTTTGTTTCCTTGTTACTTCGTGTTTAATGCTAATTACCGTATGTTAGCATGCTAACTCACTAAAGACACGTAGATTGTAAATGAAGATGGATGTCGCCTCTGTGACGTTTCTGAAGAGCGGTTTTAAAGCTCAGAGTGAGCTGCTCCCCCATCGCCATCTTGGCAGTGTCTGACTCCGCCTCTAACGCCCAGCTAATCCAAATAAGGTCAAAGAAGAGTGTGGAGCTGGGACTTCGGTGCCATGTGGCAAGCATACGCTCACCCACCTGTCACTCAAAGAGGCCACGCCCTAAATTCTCCATAACTTTGGTCCTTAAGAAAATGTAAACAGGTGAGTTAATATAAACAGTTCCTATTAATTACCAGGTAGCATCAGCTGTATTTTAACCTGTCACCAGCTGAAATGTCTGTGTTTTGAAATAAAACCAGTAAGATATTAAAGACAAAGCCAGAAACATTTTTTAGAACATTTGCAGTCACCTCGGTTTTAGTTGAAAAATGACTCTGACACAAATCCCCTTCTGGTTTTCAGAAACCTCCCTCCCTGGCTGGAGGTGCAGCCGCCCGTGTGGCCACAGGAGAAAAGAAACCTGTGATAAAATTACTCCCCCAACACTGGATCAAACCCAGCGGGGAGGAGGGAGGGGGGGCGCCAACGCCAACGCCAACGCCAACCACCTGATTAAGCAACAAGGAGGAAATGAGGGAAGCAAAGAGGTCCATTTTCTTCAGGAGTGGGTGGGAAAAACCCAGAAGAAAAAGAATGGGAGGGGATGAATCGAGGGGTGGGGGAGGGTTTGTAAGTGGGATAAGTTGTGTACATATGTGTGTGTGGGGTGGGGCGTGGTGGGGGGGGGGTGCGAGGTTAAAGTCACAGATTTTAAATCAGTTCTTTGGCCTTTAACAGGCGCAACAGAAGCCCAGTATGAGCGAGCAGAACAAAGAGGGCAGCAGTGGCCTCGACCAATTAACATTCCTGCAGCCTTTATGAGCCGCCTGGTCCCGCCCCCTCACTCACACCTCATAAAAGTCACAAACATCAATTCTTGCAAACCATAACTGTCATTATAATCCTATTAAAAACAACCCACTGAGCAATTTACAGTGAGCACCGGGGCCAAGTTTGCTCTCAGACGGGAGGGATCGCCTCGGCCGGAGCGCCAAACCCTCGACCGAACAAATGGCGAAGTTTATTGGGAGTAATTTGACCAAATATGACATGATAGTGACTCTATGAGTTTACAGCAGAACTGGAGGTTAAATCTCTCCTCCTCCATCCTCTTTTAAATTTTAATGGGTCTTGGCAAACGTGGCGTCGACCACACAGCGCAGATGTTCTCATTAGTCCGTTCTTTCGGCCACTAGAGGGCAGAGTCGCCGACAAGCACAAAACCACCACTTATAGAGTTGTTAAACGTTTCCCCTGAGGAGCGTGGATCCAATATTCACTATATTTTAGCATGAAGTGGATTTTTCAGACATTTTTTTTCTTGCTGCACGCAGCTGTATGTGGAGGTAGATGATGTGGCTCAAACTCCTGTATGTCCTAAAAGCAACTAAAAAAGCTCAGTAAGACTCTGAAGTTGTAAAATAATTCATCACCTGCAACAGCTTCCATCAACATCAAAGGACAGGTGAATCTAAGAAGCTGACACCTGAGACTGATGAAATACTGAATGAAGCCAACAGAAAAGTGGAAGCTGTTGGATGGAAGACCGGGTCGGCCAATTAACGAAAAACAAACAAACAACAGGAAGAGTTAGACATGATAAAATAATAATTATTATGATAATAGAACTACTCAAAATTATGATATAGCAATTTAAACCTTGGCTTAGGTGCATTTTGACTTAATTTCAACATGTTAAGTCAAGATGATCACTTACTATTTATATTTTTGTTGTGCATAATTTTGCTGGTTTAATATAATATAATATAATATAATATAATATAATATAATATAATATAATGACCATTATACAGCAGGTCGACAAAAATAACAGAAACAACTTACAATGTTGCCTCATCTCACGTAAAGTTATTGTAATAAATAATTTACTCTCTTTATAAATTTATTATTTATCATAATTTCCAATTAATCTTTCTTTCTAATCAGTTTAAACTCAACCAAACTTTACTTTTGTATTTCAAATTTTCACATTTTTGTCCCCTGACTGAATGATTGTGACAGAAGCCTGAGAGGAACTTAAAGAGGCAGGAAACAAACATATTATCTGATGTAGAGAAAAGATCTTTCAGATATATTCTTTTCAGTGACTTGTCCTCCTGTAGGCAGGTGACAGGGGCAGTATAAACTGAGACATGATGTGGGAAACTGCAGATTTTTCGTTTGTGACCCCACATAACCTCAAAAACAGGAGGCTGCAGGACAATGTGAAGAGTGTGGCTCCCTCTAAAGGACGTATTGTGTCTCACATGAATTTAAAGTAATTCAATTTATTACACTTACACTTTCTATGCAGTGTGGCTTTTGTATTTTACACATTTTTACATTTATATATTTATGTATTTTTACCTTCTAACAGCATTCTCTATGAAAACAAAGGAAAAACTGCAAATAATAAACATTTTATTGACAGAACATGAATAATTAATGAAAGTGAACTATATTAAATATGATACAACCAAACATAAACTAAAGACAAATATTTTAATAAGTAAATATGAAGCAATGCAAAGTAAAAAAGCAAAAATAAAACTGTCAATTTATGAACTAAGTTTAATTAATTTAAATATGTTATAATTGAAATTATTTATGACTTGCTTTTTTTTCTTCTTTTTTAATGAAAGTAAGAAAAGTCTCAGACAACCACAGGCTGTGGTCGTGATGACGAGTGACGGGCGGTTACGTGTTTTTGGCGCTGACCAGGACGACCTGGTAGTTCCTCCTCTTCATCTCTCTGGACATCTGACACCAGGTGCACGGCGAGCAGCAGGTCGCGTACACGCAGTCTTTACACATGGTGCCCTGCAGACCAGATACAGAGACGCAGGTCAACACGTGCACAGTCTGATCCCAGTTCATCAGTACAGAGAATAATGACAGAAAAACATGATGATCCGCATCGATCATTCCCACAGAGAACAATGTGACTCATGTGGAAAATAATAGATAATTATTTAAAGCTTCATGTTGCAACAAATCCTCTGAAGTAAAGAAAAATTGCAGAAGAGGATCAGGGACACATGTGAATTATTTATTTATTTATTTCAGAATTCTGACTTTAATCCCAGAATTCTGGGAAAAAGAAATGTCACATGTGGCCCTGATCCTCTTCTGCAGAAAAAGGATCATGGGAATTATCAATTTTGCATTTAAATTTTCACTTATAATAATAATGATAATGTGATTTTTGCTGAGTCTGTACTAAACCAACATGTTCCCTCTCAGCTGGAGAAAAAGATTTGCGCCTCTCTGACACCACAACACGTCATTCATGGTCTGTTGTTGTGACATATTTTACTTTTATAACAATAATTTCAGCTCCTGTAATTTGGATATTGCACTTCATTGCAGTTTTGATAATATTTCCATTAATTGTTCAGCCCTAATTAAAAGTTGACTGATGACTGCTGCACAATGAGTAAAACGTCAAATATTACATTGTGCACAAAAAGAAGCGTATATGATAACGACTACTTTTACATTTCTCAGAGGAATCAAATCAACTCAATTTTATTTATTAATTTTTTTGACTGTTTTTGATGAATTGATCGAGGCGAGTTTTCTTCGGATACAAACAAATGACTGAATGAATGAAGTGAATATCAGATTATTATTTTATATTTTATATTTGGTGAAAACATAAAGAACTGAGCTTTTAAACCGTTCCCCCAAAAACAGAAACTAAAAGTCCTTACTTTGATGCCGTAACGCTGCCGCATGGAGACCCTCATGGACATGGTGATGGGCGGGATGGTGCCGCCGAAGATCTCCAGCAGGGGGAGACAGAGGCACTCTCCGTAGGCCTTGGTGGTTCTGCAGGCGAAGCAGGGGCAGCACCAGAAAGCAAAGCAGCCTGAACCAGGAAGTAAAATCCACAGAGAGGCGACGGTTAAAGACACAGATACTGACACAGTCAGAGGCAGAAGGAAACACTATGAGGAAGTGAATTAGTCACAGTTATATGATATATATAGTTCTATGTGCTGTGACCTCTGACCTCTCTCAGGCTCTGGTAAAACTCTCTCTCTTGATCATAAATTAACAAATGAGGTGGTTTAAACTGTGATCACCTGTATTTTATGTAGCTGCTAGAAAAACCTGATCAAAGCAGAGTTAAACTTTAGATAAACACACATCCAGCTGTGACACTGAACATCAGTAAGTCACAGATGTGCGGTCACTCACACTCGGGCACGTCCTCGCAACAGTCACATATCCCAGATCCCCACTCGTCAGAGTCCTGAGCCACCATCACAGGCTGAGGCTGCCTGATGACCATCGTGGAAGACATGATGGCGTCTGGAGCAGGAACCTGGATACAGAGTTCGCGTTAACACGTTTATTAATGTCAGGTGCGTAAAATATAAACACACACACAAAGTCCCTCCTACAATGAAACAATAAACCTGCTAAATATTTACTGTATATTTTAATATAAGCAAGAAAACTTTTACTTTTACTTTTACAGATTTTTTATGCTTCTGATGTGAATTTGAATTTCTCCTTATCTATCTATCTATTTATCTATCTGTCTGTCTGTCTGTCTGTCTGTCTGTCTGTCTTTCTGTCTGTCTATCTATCTAGTGAAGTGTCAAGAGTCAAGATGGAAATTATAAAGAAGACTTGCTCCAGCTAACAACCACAGCGCTGACATGAACAGGATGACGCCGCTCACAGGTGACTGAACGAGACCGTTACAGTGATTAAAATCACAGATTTCTCTGGTTGGAAAACTGCTGGAAACATTTGGGATATTATAAAAACGCAACTCAACAAAATTTAGAACATAGATCTAAATGTTTTTAGATATTTTAATTCAGAAAAGTTACAGATTATAACTTTAAAGAAAATCATGAAATTATGACATGACATGAGAAAAAAGGTTGACGAAATCCCGACAGGTAAAAAAAAATGATAAAAGCAAATATGTAAATAGACCATATACTGTTGTCTCACCTGTGCGTTTGTGTGATGAGAAGCTCTGAGTCGCTCGTCCTGTCACAGCTGATCTCTGCACTGAGATGCAGTGATTTCTCAGTCAGTGCAGAAATACCTGCAGACAACAGAACACCTGAGAGAAGAAACCGGACGGACTGGTCCGTCCTGCTTCACCTTCACTCAGCTATTATTTATTGTAACCGGCAGAGGATCAAAATGAGGGTAGGGCCGTAAAATGAATTATTGTCATGCTCACGTCATGGCTTCATGTACGAATGCGACACCTGAAGCTGAATATAAACCTTCTGCTGCTTTATTCAAATGAATGTTGGTCAACGTCCATCTCCGTCAGAAAATCTGACTTTGATTTCTCTGGTTAAAAAAATCATGATTGGTGTTACAGCATAAAACAGTATCAAGATCTTTTCTCACAGTAACTGTTACCTAAACCTTGAAAAACTAGAATCACCACCTCATGGTCGTATCCCTCCGCCACTCAGTGACTGAAACTAGTTCAGGTCACATCCCTGTTTATCCAGAGTCAGAGAAAATGTGAGAAAACATTTTTGTGAAATTTTGCCCTAATTGCTGTGACGTCTTGAGTGATGGCTAAAAAGTGTTTTTTGAGTTCACTGTTACCTTTGACCTTTAGCCACTAAAATTTAATCATTTTGTCCTTTTTTTTTTTGTTGTTTTTATTTTATTTATTATTTCCTGAAGGAGTTACGGACATGTTGCGTTCACAAGCTCAAAATCATGTTTTATGAGGTCAAAGCAACCTTCACCTTTGACCTTTGACCACCAAAATCTAATCCATCATCCAGATCAAGATCACATATGACATTTTATATTGGTAGCTAAAGAAATTACAAGCTAACACTGGAAACAAAAGGGCCTGCTATCAGCTAGCTAACATTAGTTAGCTAAACTGTAACTTAAGGCTAAGGTTAGAAACCAGCTGTTTCTCCTTTACTGTGTGCAGTCAGGAACAATGACAGGGATCAAGTGAAATCAAGTGTTTGAATAACTCAACGGATGGTTTGGGGACAAAGACGTCACCTGTTTCTGAGAATCTGGGCAGGAATCGAAAGTAAACAAACCTCTCCCATCCTTTCACCATCTCTTTTAATGAGGCACAGCAGTAACTATGAGCCACAGACCACAGTAAAGGCTGAAGGCATCCTGTGAAGTAACAAAAGAAAGGGTTCAACCAAATGGAAAGAGAGAGATGAAGAGATTTGATTTGACAAAAGACGCTCAGCTGCTACCGAGCTGCTCTGAATTCCTGGTCAGCCGACAAAGAAAGTCGAATACCACAGTGATTACCTACTTTACATCATCGCCTCAAACACAGTGACACATTTAGTCACAGTAATTCACTGGAACAGCACCTGGAAATACCTGGAAACAATCTACGAGGAGCTGAATGGAGAATGTGTTTGAAAACAAACAAACACAAAAACAAAACAGGGTATTAAACCATTAATTGCTTTGAGTCTCATGTGTCTTGTCTTCACTTCACTCTTCACTCTGTTACTGTCACTTTCTCTTTCTGTTGAGACTCTCTGAGATATCTTCACCTCTCAGTGACTGTTGCTTTAAACTGTGCTGATCGCCTTCATCTTCTCGCATCAGTAAAAAGTGTAGGACACAAAATGTGATGATGATGAATTTATCAGTGAAAATCTGCTTGTGTTTAGTCAAACGAAGGTAGATGGTGAATTTGTTGAGGACTATTTTAAGCAGCGGATTAATACACATTTCTTTTTCTCCTAGAAATATTTCCGGCAGCAGGGTGGGGTAAGTTGGATTGAGTCCAAGGGCAATAAAGTCGCCATTTTCAATATGAAGAAAGAACATGTCACCCAGTACAGAGGACCAGGAACGTCACAGGAAAAGCATTAAAGCATTTCCTAAATTTCATATTTTAAAAATAGGAATTGTAAAAACAATTCACAAAGGAGCGATTAATCTATCGATCAATACTTCAGATTTAAAAGTGGATTTACAAAAACGCTGCATTTATCATTTCATGAATAAATAACAGAAATTGAAAAACTATTTGAAAAGGCATTTTGGTAAAACCCTGGATACGATATGACTGGTGACCTCTCCAACCAATCAGAGAGCTTGTTACATCCCAGAGTGTCACAGAAAGGCTAACAGGAGAAGCTAAAGGACTAAGCTAATTGATTAGCTAATAGGAAATAGAAAAGCAGCGGGGAAAAAGGAAATGGAAATTGAAGAGGGAATCCAGGAATGTATTCCCGTAAATCTAAAGTATTTATTAATGGATTAATCATTCATTATTCATTCTTTTTACAATTCCTATTTTTAAAATATGAAATTAAAGAAATGCTTTATTACTTTTCCTGTGGCGTCCCTGGTCCTCCGTATGCCAGTGCAGCAGTGCGGATCATTGATGTGTAACAGTGGAATCAGGCTTCAGCTACACAGACGATACTTGTTAGTCGGTCATTTGAGAGGTTTTGTTGACAGAAAGAAAAATATTTAACACGAGCTTCTTCCTGGAACACGACAGTCGACACAGATAAAAGCTGCATGGGTAGAGTCGGGACTATCGTCTGTGCTCCTGCAGCTTTCCCTTCGCCTTTGACCCAGATCTATGACGACTGTGACCCAGCACAAACTGCGTAGTGCGCTGTATGATCCAGCTCTAGCCCCACCCCCACCCCCCCACCCCCTGTGACCTTTGACCCGGAGAGCTCTGTGAATGACGTGGGGGAGCCGCTGCTGTTCGACATGTGAACAGCAGCTTTCAGAGGCCGACGATCACATGATTTAGTGTAATCCTCCAATATTTGGAATAGCTGGGAGCAAGTGATGTCGCGGTCTCGTGCGCTTAACGTCTGACCTTTGAACTTCTTCATACACGTGCCACAGAGATAGAAAAGTAGAGGAATTCACAGGTTTTGTTTTGTGACATTGCATTTTTTTCAGAGCGTCACAAAACAAATATTGATTAAACTGATCGTCGATGAATAAGCAGCATTTTATTATGGCTAATGATTCATTTTACATTAAGTTTTATTTCATTTTATATTGTTTTAGTTGATTTCTGAAACACATTTGACTTTAAATTCATCCAGATTACGTGTAATAATAATAATAATAACTGACTATGTGACGTGTTGAACAGACCTGGAGCGCTCAGGAGTTTCTTTCCTGCCTCAGGTGAAGTGTGAGTCTCTTCACACGAGGGTTCTTGCATGATGCCCAAACTGAAGCGCACATACAGGCAGTGACGTCCTGAACGCTGCAGCTTCTCTATTGTAAGAAGTATTTTTCCGTATGTGGCTCACAGAGCTCAAACCCGACCCCGGTGTCCAGTGGTCCCAGATAAACCTGCTGAACTCACAGAGGGTGAGCAGAGCAAACAGACCGCGGAGCAGCAGACCGAGGTTACAGTCCAGCTCCTGTCGATATCATGTCGACATTTAGTCCAAAATCCCACAGAGATTTCCCCCCCGGAGGTGGCTGAGTTCAGCAGCGAGCCGCATGAGCGCAGAGAAAACAAGATTATAAGATTAATATTCATGAAATGATGCCAAAAACTAGAATTTCCAACAGCAGAAATGTAACGCTTCCATTAAATGAGGCGTAAAGGTTTTTAAACAACTCCATTTCAAAGTTTTATCAGCTGGTTAAAGTTGGGAACAAAGTTCTGGCTGCTGACTTCAAACATGAGACGGGATGCAGTTACTCTCTGTTACGTTAGCGTTAACCCTAAAAACATGCTAACAAGTAGCTCATTTGTACCTGTACAGTATCTCTACCACACAGAGCAACATCACTCGCACTAACAGCACTTGGTTTGATTTATCTTTCTTTATATTTTTACATGCGACAGTCAGAGCCTCGACGGACCTTCTTCAAATCTGGTAGAAATATTCACTAGGACTCAAGGATGAACTGATTAGATTTTGGGTGTCAAAGGTCAAAGGTCAAGGGCGTGGTGACCTCACAGATCACAGTTTTGGCCTTTTGAATGCGATATCTCAGTAACGCCTTGATTTGGCACAAACGTTCACTTGGTCTCAAGGATGAGCTGAAGACATCAGGTCAAAGGTCATGGTGACCTCACAAAACACTGAAGACTTCACAGAAATTATGACAAAATTTCACACCAGTGATTCATATTTTCTGTGAGTCTGGATAAACAGGGATGTAACCTGAAACTAGTCCGAGTGGCGGAGGGATACGACCACGAGGAGGTGATTCTAGTTCCGTCTTGTTATGTTTATTCTTACGAACCAAAACACCAGGGGAAATTTGGTGTATGTGAAAAACCTACTCAGTGATAAACCTGATTCTGATTCTTGCCTCCGGTCACCTGAGAGTTTTCTCTCTCCTCTTCGCTCTGTTTCATCCTCCTTCACCGTCTCCAGGGGGAAGAGTCTGTCTCTGTTCGTCTTTAACTCTCCGCCGTGATGTGTCGGCTGCTCGGTGCGAGGCCAGGTAACGTACAGTGAGTTGATCTGAGCTCTTTGTCTGAAAACAGCTGCTGCTGCTGCTGCTGCTGCAGGAGAAGTTGTAACTGTGCCATGGATTTAAACACAACAGCTGCTTCTCACATGTGAACAAACACATCTCCACAACGTCTGAGCTGATGAATTCCATATGACACTGGTGCAGAGAGCTGGGAAAAAAACTGGTAATCTGACCTGCAGTTGGGAATTCTTTGTTCCTGTTTTCTGCTGCTTTTGCATCATGTATATGTGGTTTGGACATGTCCTTAGATACAAATCTGTTGTTTTATTCAGTCATCCATCAGTAGAATAACAAAGTCTTTTACTTTTACACTCTCACCACACGATTTGGTACATTTTCTCATTTTTTAAACATTTCATCAGCAGTTTCCGTCAAAATGTAGGTCAGACTGACACAGACTTTGGACCAGTGGAGCTCATTTACATGGGGGTTGAAAGAGAGAGAGAGAGAGAGAGAGAGAGAGAGAGAGAGAGAGGGTCTCACAGAGCAGTCAGTCCTGAGAGGAGGAAGAGGAGAGAGAGAGAGAGAGAGAGAGAGAGAGAGAGAGAGAGGATCTCACACTGAAATCTGGTATTTCCTTTCTTTGTGTACTTATATGTTCAACATGTAGATACACTGATACATGTTTATACGTGTTTATTCTGTATGTGCTCATGTATGTGTGTGTCGGTCATACATGGTTGTGTCAGATGAGATTTATTTTGAAAATTTTCCTCAGGTTTGTTGAGAGAATTGAAATAATTGAAGCAACGCTAACAACAGTACAGAGACATATAACGTATCCTGTTAGATTCATGATCCACTTTGCCTGTATGCTGTCGGCGTTCGGTTGTCCTACTGTGGAAGTGGACATTAAAGTGGATCACGTTAGCCAGGAGAAAGCTGCTCTAACTCGACCCACATGTAGATTCATTCTGCAAGAACTCAACGCTCAGAGGAAGCAGCGTTACAGCAGCTCAGCTGGACATTTTCACTGGGGATTATTACATCTCTTCAATAAAATAGAATTCGTACCGTCATCTGTTTTGTTCTTGGCAGGTCGCATGTTATTTCTTATTATAATGATGATATGTACATGACAGTTTTAACTTGGGGGTTGATGAAAGTGGTGAGCTGCTAAAAGCTGCTAAAAGCTAACTACGGCTAATGAGTGAAATTAAGTAGCTTAAAGGTTTATTATTATTATTTACATTCTGTATCCAGTTGTTTCACTGAAGCTCTGTGATGTTCACACTGAGTGAAACATTCAAATCCAAGACTCCATGTTGTTTTTTTGTTGTTTTTTTATGCTTGTACCAAAACATCAAATTGACATATTTTGATTTCTTGTGCATTTTATACAATTTTCTCCAAATTTGAGGCAGATATATTCAATGTCATTGAACTTTAAAATAATGAAGTAAAGTATGGGTTTGTTCTGGCTGAGCAGGTCAGAAAAATAGATTTACATCATGTTATTTTCAACCACATGAAGAAGTGCACTGATTATTCTGAATCTGCAGCCATAATATATCATATTGTCATGATATAATGTATAATAATGTCTTTTTAAAAAAATTATTATTCATCTTTTCACATCCCTCTCCCACTGCTGCAGCTACGAGCCCTGGGTTCCACATCCAGCTCTCTGACCAGGACGTCCTCAGTCAGTCCTCTGGACGTCAGGGTCTCCACACCCACGGGACGGATTCATTATTTTACAACCTCGTCACCAGCAGCTTCAGGAGCCGCAGGTTGGTTCAGGTCGATTGGTTCACGTGCAGACCGAAGCACAACTAACAGAGATCATCTGCTCTCCAGGAACTGTTGCTTTTCATGTCTGCATTTCTTGGCACTGGTGGAGACGTTTCACAGGATCTCTGCCTCCCCCTGGTGGAGACTTTACAAAGACACAGGGACTGTCCTTCAATAACACAGAGATTCTCACCTACTCTGCAGATTCTTGTATTTTAGCAAATTCTCTGTTGATGTATAAATTGCCAAAAGAGTTTGTAACAAAAAAATTATTGTAAAACCACAAAAGTAAGACTGAGAAATAAGATTTTTTTTCTAGATCCTGTTTACATCCTGTTTACCTCTCAGACTTCATGACCCTCTGTGGAGGTCGTGACCTTTATGGAGGGGCCCAGTGATCTGATTAATCTGATATCATTTTCTCTAATCTGCTTTAAAATGTGATTTACAGGTGTTTCAAAGGATTTACTACCTGAGACCAGGTGTTCCTGTAGCTGAGGTGGAGACTCCAGTGAACAGGGGGATGGAGGGCAGCAGTGAGCCTCGACTCCCAGACCCCCCCAAGAGGCCGCACAGCCAGGCGGACTCTTTCCTCACCGCGGCTCGGCTCCTCCGCAGAGCGTGGGCGGAGGAGGGGAAGAAAACAGGGCGGCAGATTTCCCATCAGCCCCCTCTGAACAGGTCGGAGGGAAATCAGGGTCCAAAACGTGCTGAGATCTACCTGAAGGACCCCGGGAGCGGCAGGAAGACGACTGAGGGCAGAGAGGTGGAACGAAAGACAGATGAAGTGAGACAGATGAGTGAGGGGACGTCCTCAGCTCAGAGACAGGCTGAGCCACAGAAAGACATTGTGTTGGTCTGGAGGTCTGGCTGTCGCAGCTCATGCAGACAGACCAGGAGATTTAAAGCCCCGATTCTGCCCGTCATTGCTGAGATGTAGACGAGCCTCACTCCTGCCACACTGAAGTAAAGGCAGGCGCATTTTATGGTTACTGGTTACTCTTCTTCTTTGTTACAATAAGTGCATCAATTTGTGTTGAACGCTGGACACGATGAATATTCAGTGTGTGTGTGTGTGAGTGTTGTGTGTGTGTGTGTGGTGTAATGTGTTGTTCATTAAAAGTCAAACGTGCAAATATAACTGGTGTTCTTGGTTTTGATATGTGATAGTGAAACCTGCTCCTGGCTGCTTTGTGGAGTTATTAAAATCTTTATTCTTTAAATATAATATACACACACATTATTAAAAAAACATTATTAAAAAACAATTCATAATATTTCAAGAATAAATTCAGAATTTTAAGAATTGAATCATAATATATAAAAAAAAAGAATCATATTGTGTGTGCGTACACTTGACTTCTGTTACAAAAAAGTCCTTTAACCACATTTAAATATTAAT